TTATTCTTCATAAGAGAAATATTAATATAATATTATTCTTATTTAATTCTAGTATAAAGTCTTACAAGACTAGTGAACCCACTTCTCAGAGAGAAGTAAAAACCCACCAACAGACTCTCCTCCACCTTTTTAGGCAAAATGAGGAATTAGTCGTTCTTATTCAAGCCCAAAATCCTCAACCAGCACAAAAAAAATCCCCCAAAGCCAATTCAGAATACCTTGAATCCTATGAATCCCCAGAATCTTCTGAATACTCAAAACCCTTTGAATGGCGTAATAGAGGACCACCATAACCAATCGGGAGAAAACCTTAGGTGCTAGCCATTGAGGAAGGAAAATAATGATGAGGCACAACACATAACTATAGGGAAGAGAAGAAGAAATCAATAACCTCTTCCCCTGCAGAACACCGTGGATCAATTTTGGGAAGAGCATTTCAAAGAAATCCCATTCGAGCTGGGAAACATGAAGGAGATCATGAAAAATCAAGTTTTAGTCACCATGAAAGCTCTGGTTCAACAAACAGAATCACCCTTCACGATAGAGGTCATGTATTTTCCCCTTCCACCTAAGTTCAAAATGCCCTAGATCGATGCATTTGAAGGTACCAAGGACCTCGTGGACCACCTTAATTCATATAAAAACCAAATAGAACTCCACGTGTACCAATGCTTTGTTCGTTGTCAACATTTTGCTATCACTCTAAAGGGCTTAGCTCTTACTTGGTTCAACAAACTAGCACTAGCCGCGATCTTGATTTTTAGAGAGCTTTCGGTGCAGTTCATCTCTCACTTCATTGGGGCGAGGATATACATGAAGCCTACCTACCACCTACTGATTGTTAAGTAAGAGTCTGATGAGTCCCAGAGAAGCTTCGTAAAGAGGTTCAACCAAGAATCTCTCAAAATGGACGGGTTTGGATGAGAAGGTCACCTTGACAGCCTTCACGGCTAATCTAGGTCCCCAATCTAAAGATCTTCTCTTCCAAAAATCCTCATGTATCCATGGCAGAGGTACTACAAAGACTGAAAAGTATATCAAAGAAGGGGAGGCTCTCCTATCAAAGGGTGGCGCATCAGCAACCCCCGAGCAGCGTCCAAACAAAAAGAGAACACGATATACATAGTTTTATCGTTGATAAAAACATGTTTTATCCTAATTGATAAAAACAAGATGACATATTTATACTAGTTATTTCATCAATGATTCTTCTATGCATATATGTGTACAACATGAAAGAGATTAATTATAGTCTTTTATTGAAAATGAAGTTAATTGTGGTTAGTTATAATTGACCCATCAAATTTTCATACTTTGACAGTATTGTCTTATGACTTCATTATTAATTACTAATAAAATTAATACCAAAAATCACAGATATGTACACTAAAGTATATACTAGGTATTTTTTTATTTTAAAATTTTGTGAGCAAGATAACAAATCTCTACTAAGTTTTAAACTCAATGCTAAAGTATATATCAATAATAAATGATCAAGTTGATCAAAAAAATTTAAAATGAACCAAATATGTCCAAATTAATATGAATATGTCCCAAGTGTGTCTACTATTAGTCATTTAGATATGAGTATGTACTAACTGATATGATAAAAAAAATAGAGTAATGTTATGGAGACCTAATTCAATGTAACTTTTGGATTAGTTGTGAGTTACAACGTTAAATAAAACTCACTTCTAATTCAATGCTTATATTATATTAAGTCTTTAAACTAGGTCCTAATAATATTTTCTAAAAAAATAATAGGGTAGACATAATTATATATACCTAAAAAAATATAATACCTAATTATAAGACAAAAAAATTGAGGGTGGACACATGTCTACCCTGGTCCTTGAGTGGCTTTGCCACTATTGTTAGGGGTCTTTGAGAAATTAGGTATTGTCAAGGAGAAGCTCAAGCCAGTTAAAACACACCTACTTGGGTTTTCTGGCGAGAAAGTTTCCCCCCTAGACTCAATCTAGTTCATATTAACCGTAGGAGACCTCCATGTCAAACCACTACTACAATAAAATTCCTCATCGTGGAGGCACCTTTTGCTTACAATGTAATTCTGGGGAGGTTATCCCTAAACTCAATCAAGGTCATTTCCTCTGCCTACCACATCATGATGAAATTCTCCACGGAGAATAGGGTAAGGGTCTTGAGAGGAGACCAACGGATGGCCAAGGAGTGTTACGCATCATCCATGAGGCATAAGAAGGTCGATTCAATTTAGATACATGACCTAGACATGAGGGAAGAGATGGATACAAGACCAATTCCCTTAGAAGAACTGGAGCCCGTAGAGATGGACGAGAATCTAGAACACTTAGTCTTCATTGGATTCAAGATGTTTGATGATGTCAAGTAGAAGCTCATGGCATTCGTGAGAAATAGCTCAGATGTATTCACCATGAGGTAGGAGGATATGCAGGGGATCGACGCCAAGTTGATCTCCCATAAACTTAGTGTGAACCCGAGCTACAAAACCTATCAAGCAAAAGAGAAGAAGTTTTGCCTCAGAAAGACAATCAACGAGGAGGTATCCAAGCTACTTCAAGCCAAGGCCATTACAGAGGTAGACTACCCGATGTGGTTAGCTACCATGGAACTTGTGAAAAGAACCAATAGAAAATGGCGTTTGTGTAGTGTCTTCACCGACTTTAATCGAGCATGTCCAAATGATAGTTTTCCTTTGCATCGAATTGACCTCATAGTCGATTCAACAGCGGGTCATAACCTTCTAAGCCCTTGTCCTTACTAAAAAATGTTCATTCCACAATAAAATATGTTATTCGAACTTAATCGGATGATAGATTAAAAGTGGACTTAATTTTAAAATTCATTATTAATCTAATATAATGACTATAATAAATTAAATCATTGATTAAAATTTTAAAAATGATGGATTTTCAAGTATCATCCTCTCGAATGGTTGTAGCCCTCTATAATGGAGTGACAGGTTGATGGTTCAAGTCCCTCTTTCGCCTTCCCTTTTCCTCCCCGTAGTGTAAAAATATATTTGTCTATTAAAAAAAAGAATAAATTATACTAACACCTCATGATATTTGATTTTATTACACAGACACCCCCCTCATGTTTTAAAAATAACACTGAACACTGAACTCCTTTTAACATTTAATACTTGTAACAACCATACCACCTCTAACTAACAGACGTTAGAATTATTCACAGTCAAAGCTGATGTCATCAACAATAATTCTAAGAATACCAAAAATACCCTCCAAAATTAAGTTTAAGAATTCAAATAAATATTTTTCTTACCTTACAAATTTACCCAACCTTTCATTTATTTTTTTTAATCTACATATTTCATATATAAATTAAAATTTAAAATTTAAAATTGAAATGTTTAGTACAATTTAAAAATTAATCATTTTTTTTTAAATCTGAATAATTACCTATCCAATTATACCATATTAATTTTATTTATATTTATTATTTATCTAATTACATTAATTCATACTCCGATCACCCATCAGCATTGGTCCACCAGCTAAACCCACCAAAACTTCCATACCCAGCCAGACCCACCAGCACCAGTTGCACAGAGAAAGAGGAGAAACTAAAACCAGAACTCATTGAAATCACCCCTGTCTCCACCACCACTGAAACCACCATCTGAACCAAACTCATCATCAATCAACACCACTACATCACAGAGGTTAGGGTTTCAAAATCCACCTGTAACCACCACCTGCAAATTCCACCTACAAAATTCACCCATCACCACCAATTCCACCACCTAGGGTATCGATCATAGAGTGATAGAGGGGCGAGAGAGATGGAGATCACAAACCCTAACCTCTGCAATGATGGTGCTGGTGAAAATAGGACGTTGTGGTTGTGCCGCTAGGTGTTGGTGCTGGTTGTTAGGGTGTCTGATACGTCTTTAGAGAGAAAGAGACGGTTGTTGGGGCTTTGAGTCGTCGTGAGAGAGAAAGAGTGTGTGTGTTTGTGTGTGTGTGTGTGTGTGAATTGGGGGGGGTTAGCTTTTAGGGGAGGGATCTTGTGTCTTGGATCTTGATGAGTAGTTAATATGAGGGTAAATTGATCTTTTTATTTGTGCTGTTAACAACATTCATTTTGTGGTGTTTCAATGTAATTTTGGAAATGTGAGGGGGTGTTCGTGTAAAAAAACTAAATGTCAGGGGTGTCAATGCAATTTACCCAAAAAGAAAAAATATCATCCTCCCAAAAGTTGTCATGGACAAAATTGTAAATATAACCAGCAAAGCTAATGTTCTTGCGTCACCGTGAGGAATCCACAAATCCAGCCTTCCGATCTTCCCCTTCCTTTACCATACTATGGAGAAGTCTATGGTAAAAACAAAAACAAAAAAAATTAATATTGTACCATCATTATAAGTTTTGTAATTTATTTTTAATGTTAATTATATTAGAGATCTTAAAAGTATGAGATTTATTTTATTTTTGTTTATAATATTTTAATTATATAATTTTAATCTCTAAAATATTAAATATATTTTTATATAGTTCTTCAGGAAGATAACGTTCAAATTATTATCAATTTTTTTTATAATAAACTTGTTACTTAATAGTTAAATATGAATAAACAAATAATTTAAATAATAATTGACTAAATTTTTATCTAATTTTTGGTCAAAAAAATACCCAAATTATATAATTTTTATTATGACTTATCTAAATTTTAGTCAAGAGCTACTCATATTACACATTTTTAATCAAAAATTATTCATATTATTTTTTATTTATATTTTTGTATTATATAACAAATTTATGATAAAAAATTATTAATAATTTGAATGTCTCTTGATCGAGGAACATCATGCGAACATATTCAATATTTTAAAAATAAAAATAATATAATTAAAATATTTAAGATAAAAATAAGACAGATTTCGCACTTTAGATATTACCAGCTAATTAACTATTTATAAAATTTGATGGTACCGAAAATTTTCGTCTCCACAGTTGTAACCAACTAGCCCCTGCATAGTGGGCCCCACAATGGAAACCCCGACAATTAAAATTGGGCCAATGGCTTCTCCAATTGACGACGCACCGACGAAATCCAGCAAACGAAGCAAAAGAATTTCGCATTTCGTCTTTTTCCCAACAAAACGAGAAGAGGAGGCTCCGATTAGCGATTGAAGGTTGAAAGGGTTTTCATCAATGGACGAGGTGATCACGGCCGGTGATGCGTTGTCTAGCTTCCGATCATATTCATCAGACCCGTCCGTTGTACCTTCGAACCTTCCTCTTCTCACTGCTTTCCTCTCCTGCGCTATCGCTCAGTTTCTCAAGCTCTTCACCACTTGGTATCTGCTCTCTCTCTCTCCGATTTGATGAATTTTCCTAAGTGTAGAAGGCTGGCTCTGTATTTGTAGCTCGGTCAAGGCATGAATTGTGTTCTTTATTTGGATTGATTTGCAAAATTGATTTCGCCTGATTTTATGAGCATATTTGAATTTTTTTTTTTTTGGTGCGTTCATAAGTTGATGTTAGAAACCGTTTGTTTCATTTTGAAAATATCAAATATTCTAGATTTTTTTAGGAACCTAATGGGCCTCTCGATCCCTTGCCCAATTGGTGTTGGGTTGAATGGCTCATGGGTTCCTATAGTTTGGGACTTTTGATGTTACTAAGATAGTAAAGTTTTTACGATACGTGTGTCATACGTATGTACAATAATTGTTGCTTATTTGTTGTCCTGGCGATTGGTACTAATGGAGCTCTTAAAACATCATTATTATATTAGGTGAAACGTCAATGCATCAATGCTTCCTGCTGAGGTATTGAGAAAAAAATCGCATGTACTTGTTGGGTAATAAGTAGGGAAGAATTGGGAATCAATGCATCAATGCTTCCTGCTGAGGTATTGAGAAAAAAATCGCATGTACTTGTTGGGTAATAAGTAGGGGAAGAATTGGGAATATGTTGATAAGAGCAATATACTCTGAACAGTTTTTGAGTTGAGACACCACTATAGGATTTTTGGGTTTCTATTTCTGCGTTGGTTAATTTGCAACATCAGTAGAGTGAAGAATATACTTACGTGCTCACCCTTTTTGTTAGTAAAGAAACATGATTCTAGATAAGTACACTTGTTTGTTAATGCCAATTATCTTATCTTATCTTGTCTTACACTGATGGAAAGTTGTCACACAAGACCACCTCATATTGGAGTAATTTATTTGACTCCACATTCAAGTGGAGTACTCTTAAACTTAAGCAGATGATGGTGTATGTGGACTATATATTTGCTGTACAGAAGTAGAAGAGCAATATTTCATTTGCTGTCTCAAGAACAAGTGGAATACATATAGGAGAGACATGTGTTGGGATTGATAACTGCTCTTTAATCTTTCTTTCCACATGCAAGATGGATAGAGATGTGGAAAGGGATTGTGGATGGTAAAATTGTCTATAGTTATGGAATAGAGTAGAGAAAATTAGGAATGTAAATTTGACTGCCTAATTTTTAGAAATACTGCGGTTCCTTGGGAAGATCTTTGGAAGAACGTATCTTTTATGGCATCTCTTTGGATGTCCACGTCCAAGGAGTTTGAAGGGATTTGACCATTAGGCTCAAAATTGTGATTAGTGGAGCTACTTGTTTTTTTGTCGTCTTATTGTAATTTTTGTTTGAACTTGTTTTGGTTTTCATGTTTTGCTTTCTTTATGTATCTTTGGGGACTCCTTCTCCTCTTATGTATGACTTACTTTTTTTATTTTAAAATATTTTACCATTTCCTTCATAAAAGAAGTACTGCTGGGCTAAAAAAGTTTTTTTATGTTTTGTTTTGCATTTAAATCTGTGATTATTGCCTCATGTTTAGGTTTAAGGAGAAGAGGTGGGATTCTAGAAGGATACTTAGCTCAGGTGGAATGCCATCATCACATTCAGCAACGGTAACAGCACTTGCGGCGGCTATTGGATTACAAGAAGGAACTGGAGGATCAGGGTTTGCCATCGCAGTGGTTTTGGCATGTGTTGTATGTACTTTGTCAACCAGGTCTTCTTCATTCTTTTGCAGTGCTGTGCTTGCTTATGCCTTTTTTTTTTGGTCAGGCATTTAGTTGAATGCATGCAGGATCAGAATTAGGGTCTTGTCATCGAGTCTTTCCATCTTTCTTTTTGTAATTGAGTCTAATTATAGTGACTGGTTCAACGTATGCAATGTGATATTTTTGAGTATTGAAGGATTATTTGTGCTTTCCCACTCCCAAAAGTCCTGCTTTTCTTTTTCTTCCTTTGATGATTTCACTTCTGAAAAACTTGCATTCATTGAATTTTTGAAGGATATAATAACCTTTTGTGCTTCATCCAGATGGACACTACTGTACTAAGAGCCAGTGGCCTGTGCACAGGAGGCAGGCTAGCTCTGTAGTGGGCAAATGTAGCAGGGTCTAATTGCTTGATCTTGTTGGAAAGCGTAAATATGCTTTTTGATTGGAAGCCTCAAGTAATGTGGTAGCCAATTATTGTACTATTTTAGGTCTACATTCAGTCATCAGTCGGAGTTGGCTGGAAATTGCTAATTAGATAGTCCCTCTTGTTTTCAACTTAAGAGAAGAAAAATGCATGTTTGAGGCTGATCCTTAGCATGTCAATGTACCAATACTATCAATTTTTGCAAATCACTGAAACTTAGCTTGGTACGAGGATTTGTGCTGACACCTAATGAGTACTGTTGGTTTTTTTTTTTACTGTCAGTTGGTATTTGTGTTTACTTCGGACAGCTATACATATATTTGTGGATTTTGGTTTTGTGGACTGACACTAATGGTTTCTTACAGGTGATGTATGATGCTTCTGGTGTTAGACTTCATGCTGGTCGTCAAGCTGAAGTAATATCTCTTTCATGATCAAATATTTTTTTCTCTATGTTTCTATATTTAATTTTTGTCAAACTCCCAAGCTAATGTAAGATTATGGTGGATAGACTTGGAGATATGTCTAAAAAGAGGATGGATTTAGTTTTGCCACCCACTGCTTAAACTGTTACTTGTGATGCATCTTTAGTTAAACCATAGAATGTGTTATCCTGTTTACTTTTTTCAAATTTTTAGTTATAATTTTGTGTTGAGAAGTATTGTATATAAAGGTGCAAGTGTGTTAAAGTGTAAACGTATATATTGGTAGTCTGGCCGCACACATAAATTTCTCCATGTTTATGCCACAGCAGAGTTAGTTAAAATGTTGTCTGAATAGATCATTAACATTATTTCTTAATAGTTTGGTTGAAGTACCCAAAAATCTTTTTTCCTTCTGTTCCTAAATGACCTAATTAGCTTGTAGTTAGTGCTTCCCAAAGAAGGAGACAAGGCTGCTCCAGTTTGTGTTGCCAGTCAGTGACAGCTTGTGATTTCTAAGATAATGCCTAATGTGCATATGCTCTTTCTTTTTCAGATGTAAGTGCTTGGAAATGTAATTGCATTTGATACTTATTGCAGTTATTGAACCAAATTGTGTGTGAGCTGCCTCCTGAGCACCCTGTCTCTAGTATTAGACCTCTGCGAGATTCACTTGGTCACACTCCAATTCAGGTATATGATTGCAGACTTCTTGTTCAATTTACGTTGCTTTATACTCCTGAATAATTAGTGACATATTGCTACAATACAACCATCTTGTTCTCCCAGTGATGGAGCTCATAGTTAGTGGTAATCTGTAGTGTTTTAGGCAAAACAAAATTTTCCTCATGCAGTGTTTGTTGGATGATGGTATCAAATGTGTCAAAGCTTGGTCCAATATCTCCAAATCTTGAGTTAATTGGGTGTGTGTTTAAATATACATACATGTTACATGTACAGATCTGCGTTCGTTAGATGTGTGCATCTTGCACTGTGTTGGTTGGGCACGTGCGTAAGTGATTAGTGATGGCAAATTTTGGCTCGGATCGTTGTGATTAGTGGTGTTTTGATGCATTGCTTGTGCAATTGTTCCGGTGGTTACAGAGGTTTGCATGTGAGTCAGGTTATGTTGGTTCTGGGTGATGCATGTTGGTTATTCTAATTGTGGCAAGAAGGAAGAGTGCTCGCTGGTGCTGTGGTGTAATCATGACAGCGATTGGTTGTTTAGTGGCAATGATGTGGAAGACTCACTTGAGCATGTTGGAGGTGGTTTTGGTGCCATTTGCATCATGGGTATGGATAAGATGAAGAATGAGAAGCAGGAGATGCAGATTGGGATTGTTTGGCTATCGGTTGTGTGTGTTATAGAGGGAGATGAAGTGTGATTTGGGTACTGCTGAAAATCGTCTGTTCCATATTTGGCCATCTTTGACAATTTCTGAAAAGAAGTGTGCTGTCTTATTTCAGAAACCCTAGGGTTCTCAGTGTAATAATCCCTAAATTTAGTGATTAAAATGATGTGTTTTTGTTGCGTTTCTAATGGACTCCCTTGAGATTGGTGCAGGTTGTTGCGGGTGCTTTGCTGGGACTCGTAGTAGCATACCTTATGAAAAGCTCTAGTTAGGAGATGGTGTTGCTGATGGATGGATACTTTCTGGCAAACGAAACATTTATGGAGCTTTTAAGCTGGTTTGGTTGTGGTGGGATGATGATTGATGTTCATGAAAGAATATTAAAGCCAGAGAAAACTGGCAATTGTGGTTCTAATAACTTAATGCTTGTGTAGTCATTGGGAGTCTTGATTATAAGTCTAATGCTTTACCTGAACGATAGCCAGATTTTCTGTGTAATTTAGTTGTCAAGCTTGATAGAATGTTTTATAGGTAACACTTATTTCATCATCTGCAATGCCTGACATTTGAATGTAGCAAAAACCTGAAAGTTCCGCATGGTCGTAAATGGTGCAGTGCATTGTCCATCTTGTTCCGATGTTTCTTGCTAACCAGTTAAGTATAACAAAAGAACCACTCCAAGGCTAAGCATTACAGCCTTATGTCATGTGCAATATAGAGTAAACAATGCAGCCCTTCTTAGATTTCATGATATGCACAAGGAAAACTAAAGGGTCCACCTAAAAGTAGAAGTAATTTACAACTAATTATACAGCTCTAAAGCACAAAATGTTCCTCCATTTGCTGTATGTACAGGTGCCAACAACACCACCACATTCCATGTTTCATAACAGTTGATAGGATAACATCATACTTACTTCGATTCATGCAGACCACGGAGCATCATCGAAGCTGCGGAGTTCTCTGCATCCTTTATTCTCCACTTTTCGTCTCCCTTCACAAACAACACCTCTTCAGTGGTTTCAATTTGAACTGAGCATACGAATCTCTTCTCATGAGAAGGACCTGCCTCGCTCTCAATTCTGCAGGCAAAATGAACATCACAAAAAGAAAATTTGTACGCGTAAAACATATGGAAAGTGAAAGTTCTAATTTCTTCACTATTATTCTCCATTCATTGACATGAATGAGTTAAGACTAGAATGTACAAGCTAAAGCAGCTGAAAGCTTTAAAAGAGCCTGCACACAATGCAGGTGTATTCTATTTAAACAAAAAAAACTAGGGTCTTACCATGCTCTATTGCAAAAGAAGAGGGAAAACGAAAAAGGGAGGGGGGGGGGGGGGAGGTCAAGGGAAAATACATAGTTGTCAAAAACAAGACCAGAGGATAGTCCACAAGATGACCAAATAAAACTATAAAAAGTCAACAAAATTAATGGTTTCTAAATGTATGATAGTGAGATGTGCTACAGGTTGTAACACATCTGACATTGATGTATAAAAGATCCATATGAAGGAGAACACATTAAACCAAGTAGATGAACCTTCAACAAGAAATGCGTGAGGCGGGCCAAGGGGCAACACATCGATAAGACAATTGACATACATTAACATATTTTAAGCAAGCACGAACTCACACATACAGATCATCAAGGAATTACTGCTATACTGATTTCCCAAGCAAAAGCAATTTTGCGCAACAGTTAAAAGCCAAGCGAGCTGTAAGATGATAATAAACTTTCTTCCCCTTCTCTTCAAAACTATTTCAAAAAGAAGGAAAAACATATCTTGAACCAAATATATTTGAGAAGAAAAATCCAGTCATTGATTTATAAATTCAAGCAAAAAACTCAGCTAGAGATGTACATAAACACCATAAACCCCATCCGTGGTCCCAACCTACAATCAACAAAGCCATAGTCATCACATAGTCTGTAGCTGTCCAGAACGTTCTCCAAAATCATTTAGCAGGTGTTTAAACATCATTTATCCTCTTCACAACAATTTATGTCTACTGGATTCCACTTACAAGTCTCAAGGCATGAAGCATAAATGTTATTTGCATGCAATATATAAAACACAACAACAATGGACTAATGTCCCAAAAAAGCGAAACAAGGTTTGGATTAATTAGCCAATTTAGTAAAAGCTTAAACAGCACATAAAATTAAGTCACAAGAAAACAGACACATTAGGTTATTATTACACCATCACTACGACATAGTTTTCATCCAAAAAGGCCAACAGGACAACAGTCTAAAATACTTTCAGTTCTTTTAAGGCCAAAATAGATGTCAAGTATTATTACACCATCACTACAACATAATTTTCATCCAAAAAGGCCAACAGGACAACAGTCTAAAATACTTTCAGTTCTTTTAAGCCCAAAATAGATGTCAAGTACAATCGACAGAAAATAATTATCATATGGGTCTTCTTTTTCTCCTCCTCCTACTACCTCCGGGGGAGTTCGGGTGAGGAAAGGACAAGAAATTGTTTTAGTTATTGTTAGGCAGCATCCTTACGAGGCTCTACTTGACTAGCAACTCTTTACACAAATGTCAATGTTGGCAACTCTTTGCACAGACAAGATCCTAGGAGGAAAACGCACCAACTCAATCATCTTACAGTATTCCAAAAAAAAAAGATCAATGTGAAGCATGCGAGCTAAATAAAATGCATATGTGATAGCAGAGGGTCAAAATAGCTTATTAAAAAGTAAAGTGTCTGCTAAAATGTGTAAGACAATAACTAAACCGAAGCAAAATTCATGATCGCCAACTTATGAAGTCACGTTGAAGTTTATTATCTTTTTAAAGTAGATGCTAAAAAACCCGCTCAATAAGTGAGTAGAAGGATCATACTTATAACTTGGTTTTGGCCATTTCTTTTTGTCACAAAACTCATGTAACTTTTGTTTTGCTCCTTCAATATCATTTGTTCCATTTAAGTCAACATAAAGGTCTAAAGCCATTTTGTCGTTGGTTGTGGGATATGACAACTTCTTCAAAGCTGCCTTCGCTGCATGAAGCTTTGCATTTTCTTTCTGTTCTGAGCAACCCGAGGCGATAAATGTCCCATCGACGTAAACACTAGCAATGTTTTTCTCCCCTTTCCTCCAATGCCTTATATCAACCTGCTTTCCATCCTTTTGGCATAGCTCAAAAAGCATTGTCACAGGTTGCGGTTGTTGCTGGAGTACATCAAGTGTCACGATGGGTTCTAATAAATCTCTGAAAATCTGAATCAAGCAAAAATAGATCGATGCTTATCAAAAAAATGAAGCAAAAGTAAACTAAAAATCATGATTCACAAATTGAAGTTTGTTCTGAAGAACATTCCAAAACCAACCCTCCCCTTGAATTGCCAAGATTTTGGATGATTATGGACAGAACAAAATTTCTGCAATTTCTGATTATTCAAGTAACATTCAGCCAAACATGCAACTAATCGTCATAAATCCAAGCTACAAAAACAAATCTCAAGAAAAAGAATCTTTCTACATTCCACAAATCATATCTGAATCTGAAATTCCCTTATCCACAATAACATAATACTTTTTACTTCAAA